ACTATATCCGAGACAAAACCATGCAGAATTTACAGAAAAACCCGAATTTCACAATCAATCCTGAATTTCAAAACAAACCGGAAAATTTCCATGCAAGCATGGATTTAACAGAAAACTCAACATTTACAAAATTCTCAATTCATCAAAGCAGTTCAGCCAACTCCCAAATGGGCATGCTCAACTCCAGAAAAACAATGAAATTCTCATTTTCATTTCTCAATCATGCTCATTTCCAGAAAATCAATAAAATCCTCATTTTCATTCCAATCATGCTCAATTTCAGAAAAACAAGGAAATTCTCATGAAAATCATCCAAATTTTCATTTCAGTTTAATCACACTCAGATGCTGATAAAATCAATTTCAAATCAATTTAAACCTTGCCACCATCTCAAAAACAGTTTAAAACATGCTTTAAAATCAAGGGCTTTACCATAATTTATTTACCTTACTCGCACATAACAGAAGGCTAACCTAAGTGCTACGGTGACAGAACGATCAAAACCCAATCACAATATTCCACAATTAATACCGCACTACCACACAGTCAAAGTAAAATCATCATTAGCACTACCCTTAATCACGATGCTATTTCTATCAATCTCCACATAACCGAACATCTCCAAATTCGTTCTTATATCACAAACTAAACATTTAAGTCCCTGCTAATAGTTAACCCTCGGTGTGTGAACAGTGCCTATGAACAGTATCTGTGAACAGTATCTGTGAACAGTACCCGTGAACAGTACTGATATTTTTAGAATTCAACTGCAGCCAGCTAAAAGACCAGAAAAATGGATATTTCATCAGATTTTTTCAGAGCAGAAACAGACTGAAAAGGAGCAGAAAACAGTAGCAAAATTGCAGAATTTTCTGCGTGAACAGTAACTGGTACGCGTGAACAGTGAAATCTTTGGCAAAACAGCAGGATTTTCACACAGAACAGCAGCTATATTTCAAGCCAAAACAGGTTTATTTCTACATGAACTAAGCCCAAAAAACACGTTTAAAGGCTGCTAATTTCTTCCCCTATTTCGGCCAGCAAAAGGGCAATTCAAAAGCAGAAATTCCAATCAACACAAGGCAGCAACTACATGGATAAATTGGACTTAGAAGAGCCGGCAACTTACCAGAATTCTAGCAAGCAAACCGGAGCTGGCAGGGAGAAGAAGCCGGCGGCAAGTGCAGGGGAAGCTCACGGAATTAACCCAAATTCAAGAACCAAAACAGAAATTAGAGTAACCCAAACCAAATCAAAGCTAAAGAGATGATTTTCATGGCTGTGGCTTACCCAAAAGTGCCCAAAAATTCAAACCCACATGGCAGCTGACGGACAGGGGAGAAGAGCAGAGCAGAACTGGGATTTTCTGGGTTGAGGGAGAGAATTCTAAGCCCCAAATCTTGTGATTGAACCAGGAAAGGAAGGAATTTCATCAAGATCTCACCGGGTTTTTCAAGGGGGAGAGAGTCGGTGGCTTGGGGGCTTGTCGGGAGGAAGAATCGAGAAGAAGAACAGAGCAGACACGCGGGCAATGAGGAAGAAAAGAAAAATATCTCAGCTTGATCCTTATCCTAATTTCCTTCCTTTTTTTGTCCCTCAACTTTTTAAAATTTTATGATTAAGCCCCAAAACAATATTTTCCCTCAAATAAGTCCCTTAATGCTAAAATATCCCCAAATTTTGGGATATTACAAGTGCGGAGGGACTTTATTCCGTGTCTAGCTCATCTCAAAGTCATCCTATGATCCTTACTATTGCAGTTGTGTCTCCTGATATCTGGCATCTTCGTCTTGGTCACCCAAGTTCAGACTCTGTTACTCAATTGGTTCGTCGTGGTTTAATTTTGTCCAACAATAAAGTTCCTAGTTCAATTTCTTGTCATGCTTGTCAACTAGGGAAGCTTACTCGACTTCCATTTAGTGACTCTTTGTCGACTACTTCAGCACCATTTGAGTTAATTCATTCTGATGTTTGGACTTCTCCTGTCATGTCCTTTACGGGTATTCGTTATTATCTTTTATTCTTGGATGATTATAGTCACTATTTATGGGTTTATCCTTTACAATCAAAATCTCAAGTGTTTCAAGCTTTTCTTAGATTTTCTACTTATGTTTCTACTCAGTTTGATGCCCGGATTAAGGCTTTTCAATGTGATAATGGCCGTGAATATGATAATGCAGATTTTGCTACTTATTTTCAAAACAATGGCATTCATCTTCGATCTTCTTGTCCCTCGACTCCCCAACAAAATGGGAAAGCCGAGCGGATGAATGGAACAATCATAAATATGGTTTGATCTTTACTTTTTCAAGCAAACTTGCCTAGTGAATTTTGGGTGGAAGCTCTTTATGTAGCTATTCACTTAATCAATCTTTTACCTTATGCTAGGCTACATTTGTCCACACCTCATGAGGCTTTATTTGGCACAGTGCCCTCCTATGATCATTTACGACCTTTTGGTTGTGCTTGTTATCCTAACTTGTCTGCCATTGCTGCCCACAAATTGGCACCCCCTTCCTCTTTATGTATCCTTTTGGGGTATCCTAGTCACCATAAAGGGTATCGATGTCTTGACTTAAAAACCCAGAAAATTATTTTATCTAGACATGTTACCTTTAATGAAACTGAATTTCCCTACTCACCCTCTGTGCCATCCCATTCTCCCTCATTTTTCTGGACTCCTTTTCATTTACTAGACAACAACTTCTCTCTGCCTAATACCTGTCCCAACTTTCCTAGCCCAGCCATGCCTTCCACTAGCCCAACTTGCCCCGGCCCACCCTCTCCTGGCCCAACTTCACACCAAACTACCACACCCACCAGCCCCACAACTATCGCACCCACCAGCCTTCTCCCGATCTCTGCCTCCATCGTTCCTAGCCCTGTGCCACCTCCAGCCGTCTCCTCGTCCCCATTCCTACCAGATCTGCATTCCCCATCACCATCCTGTGGTGCTGCGCCTCCTACTTCCACCCGATCTGGGTCTGGGCCTGACGCTTCTCTCTCCGCTGCTTCCATTGGTGATTGTACTAGTTCTGATGATTGCTCTGTTTCAGCTCCTGTTGCCTCCCCATCTTCTTCAGTTACCTCTGCTTCCTTGGCTAATGTTCCTCGGCGCACCCATAGTATGGTGACTCGTTCACAGGCCGGTGTTAGGAAGCCAAAGATCTTGCCATCTCTGCTTCATACATCTACTGATTTGCAAGAACCCAGGACTTTTAAGCAAGCTTGTAATCTTCCAGAGTGGCAACGGTCTATGCAGGAGGAATTTCTGGCTCTACAGCGCAATCAAACTTGGGTTTTACTCTCTCCTCCATCCAGTGCTAACATTGTGCGATCCAAATGGGTATATCGTATTAAACAACGAGCTGATGGCAGTATTGAGCGTTATAAGGCTCGACTTGTAGCGCAAGGGTATACACAACAGCCTAGGATTGATTATGATGAGACTTTCAGTCCGATGGTCAAGCCCGTTACCATCCGAACAGTTCTTACACTTGCTCTTTCCAAGTCTTGGCCAATTCATCAACTTGATGTCAAGAATGCCTTTCTCAATGGGTATTTATTTGAGCCTGTTTATATGTCTCAACCACCTGAATTTCTTGATCCGCAGTATCCAGATCGTGTTTGCCTTCTCCAACGAGCTCTTTATGGTTTGAAACAGGCTCCTCGTGCATGGTTTTAGAGGTTTGCTGCTTTTCTTCATTCCTATGGTTTTATTCAGGCCTATTCTGATTACTCTATGTTTTTATATCGCTCAAATGGTATGCTGGCAATTCTACTCTTGTATGTTGATGATATTATTCTCATTGCTTCTACACCGTCCCTTTTGCATCGGATCATCTCTTCATTGAAACAAGAATTTTTTATGACAGATTTGGGTGTTATTAATTATTTTTTGGGTATTACATCCTCTTTTAACCCTGATGGTCTTTTTCTCTGTCAAACTAAGTATATATTTGATTTGTTGGCTCGGACTGGAATGTCTAATTGTAATGCTGCTGCTACTCCTCTAACACCAAGGCAAAAATTGGCTACTTCTGATAGTCCTCCTTATTTGGATTCCACTCAGTACTATAGTATAGTGGGTGCCTTACAATACCTGACATTTACTCATCCTGATATTGCTTTTGCGGTTCATCAAGTTTGCCAATATATGCATGCTCCGACTCAAAATCATTTTCAGGCAGTAAAACGGATACTTCGGTATTTGAAGGGCACTGCTCATTATGGTCTCCAGTTATTTAAGGAATTCTCCCCTTCGTTGCATATTTATACTGATGCTGATTGGGCTGGTTGTTTAGACAGTCGACGCTCTACTTCAAGCTACTGTTTGTTTTTTGGCAAATCCCTCATCTCTTGGTCTTCTAAAAAGCAGAATACTGTTGCTAGATCTAGTGCTGAGGCTGAGTATCGTGTTATGGCTAATGCCGTTGCTAAGGTTGTTTGGGTTCAACAATTATTGGCTGAGTTACAAGTCTTTCTCTCTTCTGCTCCTATTGTTCTTTGTGATAATATCAGTGCTCTCTATTTGGCTCTCAATCCTATACAGCATCAACGAACAAAACACATAGAGATTGATATTCATTTTGTTCGGGAACGGGTTGCTTCTCATGCCATTCTTTTGCAGCATGTCCCCTCCTCTTTACAATGTGCTGATATTCTTACTAAAGCTTTATCATCCACTGCTTTCTGCTCTCAACAGTCCAACTTATGCATGCTTCATCAGCACGGTCAAATTGTAGGGGGATGACGGTATAATATTTGAGGGTATTTATGTAATTTATGTAGTGTAGTGCTGTATATACATATAAATATGTAACCTTAATTCTGTATTGGAATGAGGAGCATTATTCACGGTTTTAGTAAAGACAAAGAAA